CCCCACCCCACCACACCACTACCACCCACCACCATTACCCACAGCCACTACAAGACAATTGTGTTGTTGTATTTGTGGCAATTGTGTTGCTCTATCAAAAAGAAAAACAACTTGGAACATTATTTTTTTTTTAATTTTCTCGTATCTAAAATTGTATATATTTTAAATACAACTCAATTGTTGAATTTTTTTTCTTTTAGAATGTAAACTGTATTCACATATTCGTGTGTGCAAATATGTCAAAATGTACATAAAACAAAAGATCCAAAAATATGTAGATAGTCCTCCTGAGCATGTGCATACCACATACACATTCTAATTCTTGGAGAAATTGCTTTTTCGCTGGAATATCTAATTTAATTTGGTACCTATCCTTCTTAATATCTAAATTTAATTTAATTTAGTAACTATCCTTAAAATAAGTNTTAATATCTAAATTTAATTTAATTTAGTAACTATCCTTAAAATAAGTACACTTATAAATTTCCAAACTTGACAAGCAATATAGTGAACACTAACAAAAACAAGAACTAACCCAACCCAAATTTTCCCATTTCAAATCCATTCCACCTAGAAAAATCATCTAAAAATCAATGATTAATCCAATTCAAACCCGAGCATTGATTATTATCGAACAAGTTTTATGATTAATCCAATTCAAATCCGAGCATAGAGTATTATTGAATGCATTCCATAATTAATCCAATCCATACCCGACAAATATCCTCTATAAGATAACTTTACAACTCTTTTCTCAATTCTACTAGGAATATTATCGAACAAGTTTTATGCATCACTGCATCCAAAATATATATGAATTGAATGAGTTCCAAAACAAGTGTACAACTTGCAATTCAATCCTCCAAGAGGCAGCAACTCAATGTCTCCCAACAAAACAAAACCAGCTTCACCCTGGGCAGCAAGTCAAATGTCCAAAAAAGAACAACTTTTACATAGACAATTCATCGAACACTTGGTGAACGAACTCTAATCTAAGTTTTCCTTCCTTACACAGTAGCAGATTTCACTTTTGCCTCAATGGGTTCACATTTAACACAATATAAAAAATGAATAACTGATCATTAGTTAACGCTAAAATAATCCTAGAGCAAGTTAATGGACACTTGCTCAACGTGTGCCATGTGCTTGAGGCTTGAGGTGAGGAGGGAAAAAAGGGGATAGAAGAGAAAGGGAGGAAAGGAGAAGAAATGAAAGAACATGGTAGGGAAATAGCCGTGAGCAACTGGGTCGTGAATGGAAAAGAAAGAGGCAAGAGTGAAGCATCAAGGGTACTGCAACTCAAAACTCCACACTCCAGCCACCATTGATCATGCTAAAACCATCATCAAAATATACATGGAAACACACTAAGAACATGGATGGAAGCATGAACCATGAACCATGAAGCTATTTTCTGTTTAATTAATAGCATTGTTGATTTTTATAATCCATCCAAAATAACCCAATAATTTTCTGTTAAATCAAATCACACGTACCCAGTCCAATTGTACAAAAGTTTTTCATTTACCTGATATCATTGTTGAAATTTAATGAATAACTGCTTAAAAATAAAAGAAGTAATTACAAATTAGAATCAAGGTCATAACAAAATTGATAAATTTATTAATAAAAATGATCATTGATTTTTCCAAAAAAAAAATATATATATAGAATACAATGTACAAATATTTATTTTTTTCAAATCGAAACTGTGTAAAAATGACTTTGAAGATGTGGCTCATGTCACCAGTTGAGCTTCAAATAGTAGCTCAACACACTCAACCTTTTCACCTTACCCAAATGAACACCCACCAATTTAACAAGCAATGACCACTTATTTTCTCTTTCCTATGCTCTGTAAGCTCCAAAGGGCACCATGGCCGACACTCCCACCACACAAGCCCCAGTGGACACCGAAAAAATGCAGGTCAGAAAGGAGAAAATATNACCCACCAATTTAACAAGCAATGACCACTTATTTTCTCTTTCCTATGCTCTGTAAGCTCCAAAGGGCACCATGGCCGACACTCCCAGTGGACACCGAAAAAATGTAGGTCAGAAAGGAGAAAATATAGCACTTCTTTTTTCCTCTTTCTAATTGCTCTGCTTCAGTAAGCTTCACACGTTCTNATAGCACTTCTTTTTTCCTCTTTCTAATTGCTCTGCTTCAGTAAGCTTCACACGCTCTGTGGCGGTGGCTATGTATCAGTCTTTCACGCCATTGAAGCTTTAACAATACTGCAACTCAAAACTTCAGTCTGCATAAACTGCTTACAATCATAAAACTAAACATTGAAACACAATTAAACATTGATCTAAGCATGAAACATATGCCTCCAATAGTAAGAGAGAAAAATAATCCATTCAAGAGAAGGAGCAATGGTGGAGTGAAGAGGGAAAAAATAAAAATATATCATCAGAGAAAATTTGTGGTTGCGTAATTTGATTTATTTGTAGTAGAAATTCAAAATTTAAAGTTAAACATCTGACCATTTGGCTGATGTGTCAAGTGGAGGAGGAAAAATACCCATTTATTAAACGGATTGACCGATTGGATTCAATCTCAATGCTAATTCTTTTTTTCTTTTTCTTTTTTGGGGACTGTCAATTGAGTATAAAAATTAGAGGTATCAAAATATAACACGATCCGTTAACACGATACAAAATTAGAAATTTTAAATTTTTTTTAAGTCACCCATTTAGTAAACAGGTGGACCCGATATGATACAATTAATAAACGAATCGAATATGGATGAAATCAATCAAAAAAAAAAAATATACGATACGATTCGTGTATATACCAATTATTCACAGTTCATACACGACACGAACCCGATATGNCGAATATGGATGAAACCAAGCAAAAAAAAAAAATACACGATACGACTCATGTATATACCAGCTATACACAGTTCATACACGACACGAACCCGATATGACACGATTCGTTAGACACGAATTAGTAAATGCATCAAAATAGGTGAAATATTTTTTGACACGAACCAGTCTCACCCAATTGACGAGCCTAATAAAAACATATTTTTAAAAAACTTTTTATGGAACATTTTGCATGTGTAATTTGCAAATGTATTTTTATTTCTATATTGACAACACATTAATCTAACTCATGCTTTCAACAAAAACAATGGTAGTTTGAAGAATAAGTTCAAAAAAATGGGTATTATCATGAGAAAGTTACAAAAATAATTTTAATTTGCCCACTTCCTCTTAAAAATTTATGGGAGATAATTTTTTTCATTCCGAAAAACTAAATTCTCATAAATGAAACTCTTCTATTGTAACGTATATTAAACACTATGACAATCTTTCTCAACTAGTCGTATTTGAATTTCTCACTATATTTGATACCTACTCACATTTAAATTTTAAAAAATAATTAATTAAGCACGTCAATAAATGTTTTTTCAATAATGTTGGAGTGGGATTCGGAACAAGGTGTGACAGTGAAAAAAGCTTGTAAATTCATCTGACAACCGTTGACTATTTCTTAGTTTAATTCAATGTGCATCTATCGTCAAAATTCGTTAAATATCTGCAATGAAGTGATTCAAATGCGCCGTGTGATTGGTCCAAAAAAGTATTTTAGATAATTTGATAAAATCTTAAACATCCGAGCCCAACTTTCTGCCACCCACTAACCCGACCCACTTTCTCATGTTCCCTTCCTCCTTCCTGGCTTCTTTTGCTTTCACTATCTAGACACTAACCCAAACCCCACCACCACCAACACTACCACTCTTCTATTCATCACCACCACTACCACTCTTCTATTCATCACCACGACCCCCATCATCACCACCACTGACTTAATCCAATAGAATGTGTATGCGTGCACGGGCGTGTACTGATAATCAATCCATAAAAAATACGATGATCAGTGGTGATAAAGTTAGAAAATCTTTAAAAAAAAAAATGTAAGAATAGTGAAAATTTTCAATACTAGTGATAGTTTCGAACCTCTAATCCCTACTTTCACATAAGATGTTATGATCCCACATCGGTTAAAAATATGTGTATATATAAACTCTTTAACACCCTTCCTTTGCAAACCGGGACAAGTTCTATCCACGGATTTATAACAGTTGGTATCAAAACTAATCACCACATCGAATATGAGATCGACCNACAATGGTAGTTTGAAGAATAAGTTCAAAAAAAGGGGTATTATCATGAGAAAGTTACAAAAATAATTTTAATTTGCCCACTTCCTCTTAAAAATTTATGGGAGATAATTTTTTTCTTTCCGAAAAACTAAATTCTCATAAATAAAACTCTTCTATTGTAACGTATATTAAACACTGTGACAATCTTTTTCAACTAGTAATNTATTATATATTGACATAGTGCTATCTCAAAAATGACTATCGTTAAGTTAACGTCGATAGAGTGAGCCACTGTGGACATNATTAAACACTGTGACAATCTTTTTCAACTAGTCGTATTTGAATTTCTCACTATATTTGATACCTACTCACATTTAAATTTTAAAAAATAATTAATTGAGCACGTCAATAAATGTTTTTTCAATAATGTTGGAGTGGGATTCGGAACAAGGTGTGACAGTTAAAAAAGCTTGTAAATTCGTGTGACAACCGTTGACTATTTCTTAGTTTAATGTGCATCTATCGTCAAAATTCGTTAAATATCTACAATGAAGTGATTCAAGTGCGCCGTGTGATTGGTCCAAAAAAGTATTTTAGATAATTGGATAAAATCTTAAACATCCGAGCCCAACTTTCTGCCGCCCATTAACCCGACCCACTTTCTCATGTTCCCTTCCTCCTTCCTGGCTTCTTTTGCTTTCACTATCCAGACACTAACCCAAACCCCACCACCACCACCACTCTTCTATTCATCACCACGACCACCATCATCACCACCTCTGACTTAATCCAATAGAATGTGTATGCGTGCACGGGCTTGTATTGATAATCAATCCATGAAAAATACGAATTAATACCCATGATCAGTGGTGATAAAGTTAGAAAATCTTTAAAAAAAATATATATAAGAATAGTGAAAATTTTCAATACTAGTGATAGTTTCGAACCTCTAATCCCTACTTTCACATAAGATGTTACGATCCCACATCGGTTAAAAATATGTGTATATATAAACTCTTTGACACCCTTCCTTTGCAAACCGGAACAAGTTCTATCCACGGATTTATAACAATTGGTATCAAAACTAATCACCACATCGAATATGAGATCGAGCAATGTAAACTGCGGCTCTCTGTGGTCGAGTCATAGAAAGAACGACTTATAACCTGAATTAATATGACTTGATATTATATATTGACATAGTGCTATCTCAAAAATGACTATCGTTAAGTTAACGTCGATAGAGTGAACCACTGTGGACATCGACTACAAAAACATGGTAAAATGTTACGATCCCCTATTAGTTAAAAATAAAACTAGATATGTATGCATGAACTATTAGACTCCTTACCTTTACAAATCAATTTTCAAGGGTAAATTCTAACCATGAATTCATAACATAAGATGACATTTCAACAGTCACTCAACTGTGCTAAAAGACGGCTTTGGCCAGAACCGAGGAAGTTTGAGTGATTACTAACTTAAATGATCACAAAATGTCATCGTCTTCACCGTGCTCCTCCTAAATATGCCTTGGTGATGTAGTGTCAAGTGTCAGGGATCATATGCGGGGTGGACCATCTGCATTATGTATTTAACTTAAAAAACCCAAATATCAGATACTTACATAGCGCTTGAAAGACACCCTCATCAAGGACTGATTTAGCATTCAATCCAATAGCCGTCAATGGCATACTAAACCTATAGACAGTTTTAGTGCTCCAGAGCTGATTTTCTACCTTTGGTTCCAATTTAACGTGTTATGAACCTCTCCCCCACCTCCTCCAGTTGCAAGACTGCAGGGTAGCCAAAAGATGAAGTGAATATTTTCCCTAATAGACGGATTACAGCTCCTACTCTGGACCATTCTCTCCGCTGCCAGAAGCAAAGCTAATGGAAGTGGGCAGCAAGTGTAAGAAAGGAACTTGTCTTGAAGCATAATCCTGATTCAACTCAGTGATACAAGACTATCAATTCTATCAAGCGAAATATACACATTCTACATGACTACATGCACATGTCAATGTCTGAGATGCATCAACGGTAATGAAAAGGAAAAATATCACTAGAAACTCAACAAAAAAGTAGGATTCAAATGCCAATAATGCAGCATGAACATGATCAAATTCAGCTCACAAAAGAGCCGGTCAGACCTCCCCAGCCCCCCCCAACTCCTTTTTTTCTCACACTCTATTTGACAATACAAGAGAAAGGATCCAAAATCAAGACTATGAAAAGCCCCAAGCAGCAAGCGATCATACATCAGGCAATATGCTCTGCCAGACTAAGAATCTTGACATGCTTTTTCTTCCTTAATTCATGTGGAACAGGTCCAAATACCCTGGTTCCAATTGGCTCACCTTGCTTATTGACGAGTACTGCAGCATTATCATCAAACTTGACCTCACTCCCGTCGCAACGGCCCCGCTGCATGGCGGCACGCACAACAACAGCATATACAACTTTTCCTTTAGCCACTTTTCCACCTGGTTGAGCTTCCTTTACTGATGCAACTATTGTGTCCCCCAGCCTCGCTCCTTTCTTGTTACCCTTCAAAGTTTGTATGCACATGATTTGTTTTGCCCCCGAGTTGTCCACCACTTTGAGTTTGGTCCTCATCTGTATGAAAGTCCTATTTTGCTGGAGAACACGAGAGAACTTAGATTTCAAGAACGGTTTTAAGTTAGTCAACAACATACTCCTTGGAGACTGTCCTATGAAAATCTTGTGTGAAACTGTCCACATATTTACATGGTACCAAGGTTTCTTTTTTTGATGAAAAAAAACAAAAAAGGCCTCCATTGAGTGACTCATTTTTCTTTTTTCGCATGAAAAAATGACCAAGAACCTTGGCAGCGTGACACACAAGCTATGAGTTTTATGGAGGTGGTTTCAGCTACCAAACCACTTAACCAAACTCACCTTGGAGAACAGAAAGAAAATGTCGTGCAGATTCGTAATCACAGGGTGGAAAAAGCAATAAATCCGTGGGTGTGCCATAGAAGGTTACAGGGTACCAACAGGAATTGGGTGAAACTTGAAATTGAAGAGTACAGTTTAGGAATTTATTGTAGTATGATATTATATCATACTATTTGGGTTCATCGAGTCTAATTATAAAATTAGGATTTATCATTTTTTAACTATAACTCAAGTATTTTTTGGGATTGCCTGTATAGGTTTATATGTAGTGAGATTGTCAGACCATTATTGGCATGAGAATTGCATATTGATTTGAGTATTGGATTGGATTTTTTTCTAAGCTTGAATTTCACTCTCTTCTTTTAGAGAATTCTTCCTTTCTTCTTTCTACTTAATTCTTATCCAATCTCTTGTTCAGATTATTTGTTCTTGTCCCAAGTCAGAAGGTCAACTATAGCTTAGGCAGCACGTGAAAACAAAGATTGAACTCAAACTAGAAGCATAGGTTTTGTCAGCGAGGTACCATTTGGCTCAGTCACATGGCCACAATTAGTCTGTTACCATGCCCGCGTAAACTTCATTCTGGCCTTAGCAGCTCTAAAAGGAGGATATCCACACAGTTAATTTGACTTTGCTTTTGCCCCTCAATTTTTCGAAAAGCAGGATTCAAGGTAACAGTCTGGAAAAATATAGGACCAGAAGAAGAAAACTATGTGCTATCTCAATCATTGGGATCAGCAACATGGCAAAGGCCATTCCTATCTGTGCATGAGATCTCAAATTTATTTCTCAAGTTCAACATCCCCAATACTTCTGAAATATCATAGGAACATTGAAATATTTCAATTACTTTGTTAAGTTTCCATAAAATTTTAAGTTTTTAACAAAACTTTCCATATACATTCCAGAATAACTACATATTCAATCACTATTACACATATTTTCATGCAACGATGCCTCCATCAACGCTAAAGATTAAAAGATGGCATTGATAATGTCTAGCACTCAAAGGAAAATAATGAAGATAAACTGGAGAAATAGCAGCTTCTGTCAAGATAAGAGAATGACAGCAAGTCCATGCACAATGACAGTATAAATGTTGGAAAGCCACAAAAATTATTGCAAAAATGAACACACTAACCTGAAACAAGAAATCACTGCGTGTTGTCTCGTGCGATGTTCTAAGGAAACCAAGAGAATTGTTGCCGTATCCCCCCAACAATAAGCGACCAACTATTTTGTTTTGCGCATTGAATGAACAGTCGGTCAATAAGTTCATGCACCCACGGACATTAAACAATGAGAAACAGATTCCCATATTTATTAGTAAAAATCTGAGATAATAGTTATTACTCATATGTTCAAGCAAATCTACCGTAGTGTGCAAGGTTGTAATGATGTCTTATTTTTTATTCTAAACAGGATAGTACCCAGGAGTTGGTGTCTAAATTATGGAAACTCTAATCAAGCAAACAACTAATATATCCTAACACATTTCGTTCAATCATCTTCTGCCATCTTCCCTTTCGAAACTGAACACAACAACAGACAATGTTTCATATTCTCAATGTGGTTTTTGTTACTGCCAAGTAAGAACGAATATGTTTCCTCTAGACAAACAACGCAGACAAGATAAATGTAAATTTACTTGGCAGAAGAGAAAAAGTTACATACTGTACCCTTCCTAGTAACAGCTGAAACTATATTAATTCTCCAGATATGTTTACAACTAATGCAAGTAAACGTGTAAAGACATTCTAACCTGGTATAACAACAAACAAAAGTCCAAATTTATATGATGGTTGAAATTGATTATTCAATGCCTTGATCTTGCTCTCCTAACTGTGAGTGTAATAAGGTAGTTCTTGAAGGCAGGCTGCTTTCTCATTGGCCCCGTTCCTAGATGGTAGGTCATACTACTCACACTTTACTGCATGGTTTCTTGGCTTTGCCATCCTGACTTCCCTACCATATGTGGGAAGAGAAACATAGTACTGATTCTCATGGTAGCATCTCTTTTTATTATATACGCAATATGAAAATCTTTATAATCCTCCTTAATTTGCCTAAAAGCATTCATAATTCCAGAAAATAACAGTGCAATGGCCCAATAGACGATTTTTCAGTTTCATGTGATCTGTTCAAACAACAATAGTTCAGCATTTCAAAAACAAATTGAGTCTTAGATATTTCTGAATATTTGGGCTTCCGAGCTTTTGGCTTTTGACAAAAGGCACAAAAACTTCAGACTTCCTATCACTAAATTTTTTTTCTTGATAGGAAACAAAACTTTTATTAATTAAAAGAGAGAAGTACAAAGGTCTTACCCACCCAATGAGGGAAAACAAAAAAAAGGAAATACATAAAAAGCGTTGCAATCCTATAAAAACGAAGGAGATAATCCTCTAGTTACATGCCACAATCGAATCAATGCTATCACTGAATTAGAGTAGCAAGCTAAAATCAGTCAAAAGTCAGAAGCTGCAGTCACATGCTTATGAATTATTTGTGTCTATGTTTTGGCTTGTCTAAGAACCAATTGGAACAAATTCATGTAACTTTTCAAAAAATTTGAGGTAGATGCTGTACATTAATGTCCCAACTCTTTTTCATCGGAAAAAGAACAAATATTGTCCTTTGTACATATTAAGCGATTGGGCCACATAGTTATAAGCTAGAAATTATCTTCCATAAGCTCTATGCAGAGAGTTGTTACAATAAAGCATAGACATGGTACACGGATGCACACGCCGTGTCAATACATACAGCAAATTCAAACAAATAACACCCCCAGTGTTTGAGAACAATAGCATATGAATCTGCAATTCAAAACTTTAAGAGCTATGAACATTTGGAGGAATATCGGTATCCACTATCCAAGAAAAATATAACATTCATGCAACTCTATCATAGAAGCATCTGTAAAGGTGTATTAAGTTATTTTCTAAATTCTCTTGAGCACAGTATCCTAAGGCTTTTAGCGCTATGGCTTTCTATCTGAATAATGACTTCCAGCATAATGTACAAGATGGTTAGGGTCTTGAACCACCTTTGTTATGCACATGTAGGTTAATTGACATTTGGGTTAGTCCTTGAGACAAGCTTGAGCTAAGAAAATACATACAGATCTTATCAAATCTTAGCTTTGTCAGGCAATAGCTTTTAAGTATCCTCGAATTGTTGACGGTTTATTCCAAATGAAACTGCAATCCTAGTTCCACTGTCACTAAATAATAACAGTAGACTTATATACAAGCTCTTTGACATCATTTTCTATCGAGCAATGCTACTTAGACCCAATAACCATTGAATTGCCGGTGGACCTCAATATTTGTTGGGATCGGCAACCAATCCAATGGTTGTTATGAATTATGCAAGCAAATTAGATTCAAATAGAATTATTGTTTTCTGCCATTACTTTCTTGACATTCCGCTTGACACTCTCAAAGAAAAAGAAATAAAAAAAAATAGTTGAAAAATTTTCAAGCCCTTGATATTAATTGGATTATATCTTCAAATCAATACTTAGCAACGTCATTACAGCGCACGACTGCAGATACACATGTAGATACGTATATTCAATGCAGGAGATTACTTGAAAAGCAATAGAATCAGAATTCATATTGATGACTACAGTTCCATTGAGAATGGTATGAAATCACATACCACGAAAGCATTTAGAAGCAGAAGACGCCGCCATCTAGGAAAAAGCAGCAAAAGGTTGGTGGACCTTGCTTGCTCGATGCGAGTCGATGATGGTCAGTCGGTGGAGTTTGATCTGATGGATGGAGGACACGATTAGACCACTGGTGCTGGCTGGAGGGTGGAATGCAGTCGATGCTGCCTGAGTGCTGTTTGAGGCTGGACTGGGTCGCTGGTGGGAGGCAGCCGCTGATCTGGTCTGGTCCGTCTGAGGCGATTTAGGGCAAAAACAAAAAGGGCAAGGATAAATTACATTTGCACCCGTTGAGGTTTGTCACTTAATCGGATGGACCCCCTCAGGTATGAAAAATAACACTGAGATCCCTCAAGGTTTGATCAGTTGTGACATATTGGCCCTTGAAGTTAAATTCAGTTTAACGAGCTATCCATTTCTGATGATATCAGCACAATTTGGAAACAAAATTCCTATTTTACCCCATGTATATTATTCTTCTTCCACTCACAGTGCTAAACACCCAAAAAAATATTTTACAAAATCCAGAGAGTATGAAATTTTTGTGGAGGTTATTTTTATAAAAATATTTGGGTGTTTAGCACTGAAATTTTTATTGTCTCTAAGAGTATGAATTTTTACAAAAATATTTTAAATAGCTATTTTAGATAGCGCTATTAGAGATGCTCATAAAAACAGGAAAGAGAGACGACGATATCGGTGGTATGACAGGAGAGAGAGAGAATGGGGAAGAGATGGGGAGGTCCCGAAGGAAGTACAAGAAATCGAGATCGAAGGGACGAGGAGGACTTCCAAAGAAAAAAAACCCTCATGTATTCAAACCATTGTTTCCTCTTCCACCAAAACTTCGATCTTTCGTCGACTCCTCTCAGATCAAATGGAACGACAAAGGCAATGTGATGGAGAACTACACGTCATTTGGCGAGATTTGTTACACCCACATGTCTCAACGCATTCCCTATGTAAAGCTGATATAAACCCAGAAGATCAAAAGCCACCTCCACCTTTAGATTTGTAGATGGAAGATTAATTTGACCATATTTTGCAAATTCAAGATGAGTTTGATAAGATTTGTATTGTTTGATGTTACTATTTTTGGTTGAACATGTTATTGTTTGATGTTATAATTTTTTTGTTGAGCGTGTTACTGTATAATATATATATGTGTGTGTGTATATATATAAATGTTACTGTTTGATTTTATTATTTTTTTTGT